CCCTTTCTTGGGATGCAGGCTTCCGATAGCGTCTGAAGCTTTGATTTAAAGTAATCGCAGGCCTCCTCTACCTTTAGATCCATACATTCGTCAATCCAATCCACTTCCCTAACTAATTTCCTTAATTTTTGAAAGTCAGCCCTTTTGAAATCAAAAACTCTAGTTGCAGATTTATTTTTGTTTGTCCTTCCATTCAGTTTGAACTGAAATAGCTCATGATCACTTGAACCAAGATTGTCCCCTACAACCATTTCTTCTATGAGCGCCTCACTACTCACCAAAACCAAATCTAAAATGGCATCCCCTCTAGTCGGTTCAGAAACTACTTGATGAACGAATCCATCAGCTATCGCATCTAGAAAAATCTGAGCCCTATTATTATTACTGGTTTCAGAGTAACAGCCGTGTTAGTCTGTATTCGCAAAAAGAAAAGGAGTACTTGTGGCACCTTAGAGACTAACCAATTTATTTGAGCATGAGCTTTCGTGAGCTACAGCTCACTTCATCAGATGCATATTATTACTAGCACTCGTCCTCTAGTCTATATCTGGGAAGTTAAAGTCTCCCATGATCACACAGTTTCCATTAGTATTTACTTCATTCAAAACATTAAAGAGGGCTCTATCCATATCCATATTAGATCCCGGTGGTCTATAACACACCCCAAGCACTATCCCATGGGAGGCTCTAATAGTTTTCTTCCCCAATGTGATTTTTGCCCAGACGGATTCTGTCTTATCCATTCCATCGCTTCTTATTTCTTTACATTCTACCTCATCATTGATATACAATGCTACTCCACCACCTTTACCTTTATTTCTGTCTTTCCTAAACAGCACATACCCTTCAATACCATGTTTCTGTTATTCCTATAATATCTGGTTTCACTTCCTGCACCAGTAGCTCTAGTTCCTCCATTTTGTTACCTAGGCTCCTCACATTGGTGTACAAACATCTTAATTTTTGCTGTTTGGCCTTGCTCGCATTCTGTACCCAATTAGGCACGGCCATTCTACAGCCAGTATAACCTATTAGACTGGTATCCACACTGCCCTTCCTCCTTATATCCATTCTCCTACCTACGGCTGTATCCTTTCTTACTTTGTTTTCTTCCCTCTCAATGCTAAAATCTGGCATGGAGATTACCTGGACATCTCCCAGCCATCTCTCCCAAATTCCTAGTTTAAAGCTCTCAAACAGTTGTGCCAGCCTCCATCCTAGAAGTCTATTTCCTTCCCTACTCAGATGAAGTCCATCCCGAGAGAACTGTCCTCCGTCCATGAATGCCTCCCAGTGGCCATATATCCCAAAGCCCTCCTTATAGCACCACTGCCGAAGCCATCTGTTGATAGTCATAATCTTGTCATACCTTTGTTGCCCTTCTCTAGGAACAGGCAGAATCCCACTAAAGATCACCTGAGCCTCAATTTCCTTAACCATCTTCCCCAGTCTAGCATAGTCTCCCTTAATACTTTCCAGTGAGAATCTAGCTGTATCATTTGTTCCCATATGAAGGATAATTAGGGGATTCTTTCTTGCTCCCTTTAGGATCCTTTTCAACCTCAGGTCTACATCCCGTATCTCAGCAGCTGGAAGACGGCACACCCTTCTATTCTCTGGATCAGCTCTGGTTATTCTTCTCAGTAAGGAGTCCCCGATCACATAGACCTGCCTTTTCCTGGTGACTGTGCTATTCTCCAGTCTATCCCCTGTTCCCTCTGGCTGCAAGTTCTTTCCATTCCTATTCTCCCTTGTAATCCTCTTCAACCCATCCTGTATCCTCCTGGGGCTCATATTTGGTGTAGTCTCCATTGACTCTTCCCCTTTTCCTGTAGAACTACCTGCTCTTTTCTTCCTTGCCCTTCCACTTTCAGGAACTACCTGCTGAGCCCCTTCTTATTTCCAACTCTACAAACCTATTCTTGAGCTCTATTTCTCCTTCAGTAGCCCGTCTTTTCCTCTGCCTGGTTCTTCTAGTCACATGCTTCCACTGACCACTTTCTTCACCTCATTCCTGCTTCCATCTGCAAGTCTGAGTTTTTCCCTTCAGACACCTCATGTCTTTGCTCCATAAGCTGCTCGAACCCCCTTCTAAACTCAACCAGACTTTCCACCTGCATCTCCAAACCTCGGATCTTTTCCTCCATCAGCTCTATCGGATGGCATTTCATGCAGACAAAGCTCTTACCAGGTACCCCCTCCAGGATCATGTACATACAGCAGCTTCCACAGCCAGTCATCTTCATTGTGTCTTCCGCTACATGGGTCACTCCCACTGCTGCCTCTGTGTCTGTCATAGCCTTCCCACCTTCTCCTCCAACAGAACTCCCACTGAAACTCCCCTGTTTACAGCTCTGTTTGCTGACTCCTGTGCCACTACAGCTGTCTCCAAGCACAATTTCAATAAACAGTACATACAGAGCTCCAAGAAGCCAAGTACAACTCCTAGTCCAAAGCGTTAAATGGGGATACGTTTATCAGAAAAAGATAAAAGATTATACCTTATCAAACCAACACCTCCTACATCCCAGGGCAATCATGTCCCGAGTCCCAGAGGTCCAAGTGTGACGCTATTGTCCTACTAGAACATCCATGCAGGTTAAACCACCCCTGACAGGTATTTGTCTACTACTTAACCCTGCCATGAGTGCAGGGGACTGGACTAGATGACCTCTCCAGGTTCTTTCCAGTCCTGGGATTCTATGCTCAATCCTTTTCTTAGGCCTGCTCTTTGCAGACTGGAGGAGCTGAAAAGTGCAGTCAATGGCAGTGATGCCAACTCTGAACGACTCACAATAAAATTATGAGTACTTGATTATTTTCTTTAGGCCCTAGCTCCTGGAGTCACATGATTTCATGAAACTCAGCTTTTTTTTTTGAATGAAAAACAAAACACATTTCTAGCCTTCATGACTGCAGAGAATAGCTTGAGAGTGTGACCCTTGAAGGCTCAAAAACTACATGGCAAATAAGAACTCAATGTGTATTTTTTTTTTTTAAAAGTCTCATTCTCTTTAAATAAATATGATTATTTCTGGAGGCCTGACTCATGATTTTTGAACACTTGGGGTTGCCAGTACTGTGATATATAAAAAGCAGCCTTAAATAATGTGGTAACAATGCTGAGTGTTTTTCACAAACCCACAGTTCAACACAGAAAATCTTGTGTCAAAATTCCAGGATATTCAAGTCCAATAAAAAGCAACATCCTTAAGTGTTACACATGACTTCAGTGGGAGCTGTAGCCAACAGAACTTGTAGGTTCTCAGCACATCTCAGGATTTGATCCAAAGATTGCTTATTTATTTTTTTCTTTCTTGAAATAAAAGTTAAACAGATACAGATACAACTGGTGTTAAAAGTTTGTTTTTTCCCCATTTGGTTATTTCAACAACTTAAGTCTCATTCAGGACTCACTCTTGAGTTCTGGTGTTTCCATTCAATGGATAAGAGATGTTCAAGTCCAATAGATGTCTAACCAGTATTCTTGCACATTTTCAATTAAGGAATGTTATTACAGGTAGCTTGTGTTTGCTTCATGTAATCTATTAATACCACCAAATAATAAAATTTTACTAAAGTAAATTAACTTCAGATAACATTTCCCTAAAGTGCGGTTTATACTCCTCAGAGACTTCTGCACCACTGAACACATGCATAATTCATGTCCAGTGCAGAATTTTTTTTTCCTGCACAGAAAATACATTCTGCCTGAGAAGTGTTGCAGTTCCCCCTTTTGCTCACCAGAGGCTGCTGTGGCACTAGGACAGCAGCCCCATGCCAGTGGCTGACTGGCAGTAATAGCCAGCAGTCAGATGCGTTCATCACAGCACCCTGCCCACAGAACCAGGTTAGGAGGCACAGGATAGGTGGGTGAGGACCTGAGATACAGACAGAGTAAAAACAACAAGGAGTCCTTGTGGTACCTTAGAGACTAACAAATGTATTTGGGCAGACACAGTGGGTCACAGACTGGGTACAGAAGGGCTAGTGGGGGGGGGGGGGGAAGAGAGAGAGACACAGATAGGGGCGGGGGCTCAGGAGCTAGTCGGGTGACAGCACTGTGCCAGTGATTGAATGGGAGGAAGGCTGTGGGGCCGCACGTGCCTGACTGAATGGGATAGACTAGGGGTCAGTCAGGGTCTGCATGGGAGAGGCTCCACAGCTCCCCAACAATCCCTCCCCCTCCAAAAAACCCTGTTCCATACTTTTCCCACCCACACCCAGCAACCTTCCAGGTTCACTCCCAGGCTTCTTCCCTCTTCCTCAGCTCCTCTGTTACCCCAACTCCCCCAAGTATTTGCACTGCTTCTGAGGAGTGCAGCAAGTAATTTTCTGTACTATAATTTAAATGAATTACTCAACGTTCTGTATTTATTTGCATAGTAAGGAATCTATTTGTTAAAAAAAAATAAAAAATCCTGAATCTTTTTTGTCTGTATTATTATAGACATACTTGCTGACAGGTATTTTGAAATAAATTACCAAAATAATTGAAACAGGCGTGATTATATTTTGTTACTTTGACAAAATAAATTATGCAGAATTTTAAAATATTGTGTGCAAAAATTTTTGGCACAGAATTCCCCCAGTAGTAAGTTTAGCTCTGAATATAAAAATGGCATTTGTAGGGTTCGACCCTCAGCCTATCAACCATTCCCATGTCAAGGGTGCTGTTTACAAGCTGTATTTTTCTAACCCCAAACCTTGAAAACTCAGCCTGAGATTTTGAGTTAAGTCACACCACAACACATGTAACATTCATTCCAACCACTGAAAACATCAGTCTTTCCTCACCATTCTGATCTCTTCTACCAAATACTTAGGGGCAAACACATGAGAAACAACCAGAAATATTTATTGGGAAGAAACTGTTGATTCATAAAAGCCAGACAAACAATACAAGTGTTGATCACTAAACTCAAATTCCTCTCCAACTACTCTTTCATGTTCTTATCTCTCAAAATGCATTTGTTTTATTTTGTACGTGGTGACTACAGGCGAATCCTGGGCCCACCGAAGTCAACTGGAGATTTGCTATGCATTTCCTGGGAATCAAGAGCTGATCTTTGTAATGAATGCAATGTATGTACAATTTATCTTAGACTGGATTTGTTTTCAATAACTGATTTGGACGCTCTCTGTACCTTCAGTTATTTGGTAATCTTGTTTGCATGCACCATTTGTATAGTGTTATCATAAAAAAGCACCATGTTAAAGGAGAGTTCTCTCTCATACTTATTTTCTATTTACATAATGATTTGTAAAATGTTTATTTTGGAGATCTAAATTAAAGTTGACAGCATCCCCCTAAATCAACAGAAAATGTAGGTTTTTAGCCTTCAAAATGAAAGTTATTTATCTAGCCAGATCAACTCTGAGGCTGACATTCCATTATCTAGATTGATAAAAACGTGAAAAATAAAATGTAACCAAGCTTAAAGAATTCTGTTTCATTTATTGCTTGTGTGGTCTACTGAATTTTAACTCAGCCTGATGGGAGACTTTCTAAGAACTCCCTTCACTCACCTTTAACAGATTATCTTGTCCTGCTTACCCAAGGCAAATATTTGCCAGAAAAGTCTTATCGCATGAAAAGGCAGGCCAAAGTGTCTGCTTGACCAGACACATTGTACAAAAGACTGTCTTTTGTACAATGTGTCTGGTCATGTTTTATGATTACCAAATTCTGGAAAGAAATCTCCAAAGAGCTTATTAAAACGTTATATAGAACATTCTAAATGAAGTCTGGATAGATTACTCTAGTGTATATAGACTCAATGATTCTTGCCTTTGAAACAAAATTTTTTTCAAAAGTGGAAAAATCTTATAAATATGCTGAATGAAATTTCCTCCTGGTAAGACTACTTTACCTTCTGAAGAATAACACGGCATAAGCATAATATCTTAAGAGTAAGCCCCTGAATTCTGCAAACACTTATGCATGTATTTACCCATGTCCACCTGAGTAGTCTAAATGAATTCACTGGGATTTCTCAGATGCCTAAAGTTAAGCATGTGCTTAAGACAGATTGCTGCCCAGCTGTAACATGCTAAATAAGGCGAGAGAGATTTTCAGGAACGGTTCATTAAAAAAAAAAGTATAGATACCCTCTGCTTTGAATTAACATAGATGAATTACCAATTTGACTTAAAAAGTTGTTTTATTATTCCAGTCTCATGACAACTATAGATTTTTGTGTGTTCATGTAGCATGCTTAATACTAGATTTTGCACAGTCTTTTAAAAGGTTAACTTTTTGCCATAAAATAAGACCTAACACAAAGAGGTATCTGTTTTACAAATTTACTGTTTCAGATGTATACATTCACATTGTACATTAACTCCCCAAGCATCAGTTAGCAGGACTTAAATAGATAAAAATACATAAAGGGACTTTCCATTCTCTATTATCTCCTCATGTATAAATTAAACTGGATCATCTCCTCCCACTCATCACCCTCTCGAGTCAAACCCTGTCAATGCAAGAATCAATCCCAAACACAAAGGTCAGCTTTACTGGAATTGGTGTGGTTTGTGTAACTACAGTATTTATTTTTAAAAGGAGTATTTCCCACTTGGAAACTTTACGGGAATATAGAAACAGTCACAGCATATACCAGAACAAAAAATATATATATATATATATACACTCTGTCTAGCCTGGTATTCTGTCCCTGACAATGGCCAGTTCCCCTTACATTAGAGGAAGATGTACAACACCTATTATGCGCTTACTTGTACTGTAATATACTTCAATACAATCCCATAGGGTAGAAGAGATATTTTTCTTGAAGGTCAATTGGTGGTCAGTTTATTCACTGACACAAAAGGATTGACAATGTTTGTAATTCAAAACCCAACATTTTAAAAATACCAGACTCTCTTGCTTCAGCAATGGTAGATAATCACTCTTCTACACCTGCACCTAATGAATGCACTATACACCCAGATACATAAAATGTTTGGAATTCCATCAAAGAACCTGCTGGTGATTAAGATGGCTATGAACTTTTTTGCCTTTTTCCACAGGAGTTCTTTAATAGCATAAATCCCTTGCAGTTTCGAGATTAAATAAGGTGCCATTGTAATAAAACTACAGTTCCTGGCTGACTTCACTCCCAGCTAGCGGCAGATTTTACAAAATGAGCCTATCCTGTCTGCTAAATGCATAAGACAGACTCATAAAAGTCTAGGACTGGAAGGGACCTCATGATCATATAATTAAAAATTGCATCATAATATACATGTACAAGGGGGCTGAACAAAGGTTGTACAAGAAACCTTAATTCTGGCATCTCCTTACTTTTGAATCTTTGACTTTCTAACTTTAATAATTTCTTTAAACATAGTTGCATGTATAATATATGTATATGATCTTGATGCAAGTGATTAAATTACTTGTAGTAAGATGCATTATGCTTACATGATCTTTAAACATTAGACCAACTGCAGATCTAGATGTACTGTATTCAGTAAAATATTTTAAAAAACATCAGTATTTTTTTGTTTAACAGTTGGATTCCGAGCACACACAGGACAATAGTGCATTTGTTTTTACGTTCTATTTCTACAGCCCTGGTCATGGGCATCCAAGCGTGAATTCACCCTCACCTCACCTGACCCTTGCTAGAGTCTGTGCTACCACGGGCCTCACCAGTCAGACAGTAACTCAGAAGTCCAAGACTGATCAAACAGTATCATGGGGTTTTACCAACTCCTTAATTCCTGAATGCAACATTTTGTCCAGTCAGATCTCCTCTACTCTTTCCCATACTCAAGTCACAGCTACTCTACAGCATGACACACACAGCTCAGAGCTTGCACTTTACTGTTTGCAGCACTGCAATCTTGGGAATGTCACTCACAGTAGAGAAGAAAATAAATATAAAGGGGATTCGTTATTGAAATTTCTGTACAACACATGCACACATACATTACACACCTGTGTATTCTCTGGCTGCCTAGCTCCCTGACTAAACAAACATATAAACACAGTCTGTGCTGCATAGTGTCACCAGGAGTCTCCTTAAATCCTGGCCTGGACAAAGCAGTCATGGAAAGGGATGTTGACTAAACAAGGTAAGTCTTGTGTTCAGGCATTTGGTATGAAGCGGAGGTCCTTGATAAGGGTCCTTTTAAATTGAGCGTGTCAAGTCATCAGCTAAAACACAAACAGCCCCAGTTATGGCTGTAGATGTTATTCTCCCCAAATAGACATTTCACTCCCAATAGTTCTATAGGATTTATATATACTGTATTTGACTGGCATGTGTAAATGGATTGTTAATCTAGTCCCCTGATGTCATTGTTAGTTTTAATAATACCAAGTTAACTGGATCTCTTAGACTTAAACTATGAAAGTGAAAGGGACTAACACCAATCCCTCTTAGGACCTGATCCAACTCCTGTTGAAAGCAGTGACCTAATTCTCCTATCACTCTGTGTAAATCAGGAGTTGCTCCCCTGAAATTGCATCACTTACACCTGTGTCACTCCATTAAGTGATAGAAGAATCACTTCTATGACTCAAACAGGAATTGGCTCCTACCTTTACTGAACAGTGCTGCTCCTTAGAATATGTGATAGGTTATACAATTTATTTGTTGTTTGACCCTAGGAAAGAGGGCTTGGTGCTCCTTCAGAGGCACAATTTCTACTGCTTTATTGGAATTACAATAGGAATGAGTGTGGGAGAATCACATTGCAACGCTTTGTCCCCTATATTTCTTATACTTTTGGATAAAGCTAAAAGAAAAAACAAAAAAAACAAAAACAGCCTGGTACCTGAATTTATGGCAGGGTTACTCCCAGCAGAGAACAACATGCTGAATAAGAATGCATGCCCACCAGCAGAGGAAGACATGCCGAGGGACAGATAAGGATAATGCTTGGTACCTTTTCAGTTCTGAAGATCTCAGAATTCCTGTGAGTAATGTGTGTTTGTTTTGAAACTTTAATCTTTAAGAAGAATCCCCTATACCAGTAGTGAGAGCTCTTGCAAGTGCTGCTTTTAACTCAACCTTTTGCTATCCACTTTGCATGTGAGTGGTGTGTGTGAATTATGACTTCAGTAGTGAAGGAGAATTCCCACAATTGCAGGGCAGGAAGGGACGTTCACCAGCAGTGCAACGCACCTGTGTGTTGGGGTCAAAGAGTTGTCTTGTGGTTAATACACAAGGCTAGGAGTCATAGGATGTGGGTTCCACTCCCAGCTTTGCCAGAGTTACATGTGATCTGAAGCAAGCAATTTAACCTGTCTGTGCCTCAGTTTCCCCAGGTGTGAAGTAGGGTAATGATGCTTCCCTATTTCACAAGGTGCTGTAAGGCTAATTCATTCATGTGTGTAAAACACTTGGAGATTTTTAATTTGGGGATGGGGGAAGAAGGAAAAATTTACAGTGATAAAGGGGAAAGGCAGTGATGGGGGGGCATGGAAGAGGAAGCACCAATAGGAAGGGAAGTCCAGGACTTTGTACTATTGTCTTAGCCCTATATTTACATAATAGCAGGGTAAGGAATCTGCATCCCTTGTGTTGTAATTTTACCAATACTGCTACCCAGTCTCTTCACTAGCAGCCTAGTTTCAGTGGTGGATTTTAAAAAAGCTCAACTCCTCCAGAAAAGCCTTCACACCACCCAGCAACAGAGCACTCCTCAACAGCCTCCGACGTCACCCTCCTCACATATAATTAAAAATTTTATTAAGATGATGTTTAAAAAAAGTGAACGGTACAGAGTTTAAGTAGAAGTTTCTGGTTATCAGGGAACAACATACAGATCATCAAGGGGTGTGAAGTTCGGTTTAAGATTGGATGGCATAAGGAATATCCCCGATTGGGGGTAAAAGGTTGATGGGTCAAAGTACAGACACTGAAATATGAGGGTATATTGCTCATATAATGGCTATGTTCAGGTGTGGAGTATAATGAGTGGATACGATGATGAGGATGGACTGATCCTCATTTGGTGAGATTTAATGTTCAGTGAGTTTATGGTTCCAGTTCATATGGTCCAATGGAAAAAAGTCTCTCGGTCCCTTTCTCGTAGTCAATGCACAATGTCACTCCAACTCACCCCTCCTGGTACTGTCAGTGGCCAGTGATGTGTTTGGTGTAGATGTCCCTGGACTATCGGATGGTGTCTTGTACACCCAGCCACTGCACCATCCTTGAACTAGGGATGCAGGGGACTGGATCTACTCCACAGGAATTGCTGAGAGCCTGGGAGGGCTATAAATTACTTCTTCCCTAGCAGAGTACCACACTGGTATCAGCACTCCAGAAATGAACAAGAGTCCAGCTGTCTCCTGTATACCATAGAGCCTTCTTTTATAGCTCACTCAGAAGCCCCAAAGACCCCTAATCCAGCTCTGTACTTTAATTAGAATTAAAGCATTCAAAGATTACTGCAGAGGTTTTA